ACTCAAAAGTACAGTCGAATTCAGGGACAACACACGCAGCTGAGTCAGTCAATAGTGCAATTTATTGAAGCAATAGATGCACAAATTCTTTTAAATTGCCAGTGATAAATTCACTGTCTGCAAAGGACGTGCAATAAATTAAATATGGCCGAGTTACACATGCATGGGGTAATAAAACAACTCTATATAGAGATTCCTAAAGTTCCCGGGGATTCACTTGGGATAGCCAAGTGTTCGAATCTTACTCAAGAGTGTCCCAATGTGGGGGAAGAGAGGGTCAGCCCGTCGGAGGATCCTAAAGGTCAGAAGTGATGGTATCTTCCCGGACATCCAGCCCTTCTCAAACTATTTTATAGTGTTTTACTTCGCAGGTGGAACTGGAGTGACTCTGGTCATATGTACCTTTATCAGGATTGGTCCAAAATTCTCTCACTTCATGTTTAAAGGCACGGACTAGGAAAAATTCAGTGCGCAAGCTCCTTGAGGGGTGGTCGCACCTTGGGAGGTGGGTAACTTTTGAGATGGGTGTGCGTTTTGGTATTATAATGATATTATAATAAGCAAAGTTCACTCCGAGTACAACATTTCATTAAAAATTGACAGACTGTTGACCCAGAGCATTGAATGTGCAGCTTATTAATATACACTGTGTACCTTTAGATTCCCTTGTAATCACAGAGCGTGGCTGTGACGTCTCCACTTTGCTCCACCCTCCATGCAAGTTCTCCCAGAGTCAGCACACCAAGTTGCCGTGATGTTGCCAACGTCTGGGGTTGCCGAGGGAATTGCCATGGTACAGACTCATTGTACATTAGCTGCGTTCCACCCTGCTTCAATGCTGTTCTTAGAGTGTGAATATAAGTTTAATTTCTAAGTTGCCCCCCAGCAATTATTCCACAAGCTCAGCGCCTGAAGACACTTGGCTTCATGCTGCTCCCAAGGAGGGTGTTGGCTGCCTCCAGGCACTTGTCCATCTGGGACACTGCAATGAGGGAGAGAAGGGGCACTGGGGGAGTCAGGCAGGAGGGAGAGTCCACAGGTGGAAATGAGAAAGGGGACACAGGACTCCTTCACCTGCCCCCAGGAAACTGGGGTTCTGTGAAGGGGCGAGGCAGGTCCCACAGGAGAGTG